GGATCCCTTTAACATGTTTATGCAACAACAAACTCTTGTACCAGAGAATCATAGTATTAATGATGCTGCATTACGTTTTTCAAATTTTGTTCAATAAAATTTTTTTTCACTCACGTGTCTTTTCATAAAAACTTTGCGTTCCTCAGTTCTCAGCTCCGTTAATAAATTAAGGAAACTCTCAGATCCGTTATAAGATTTCGCTAGTGTTGTCACTGCCCAGGGGCCAAGGTCGGTGGGTCACGTGGGGTCAGGATCAAACTGTCACGTGTTGCCGTGACTGGCGGTCCGCGGGTGACTATGTGGTGTACCACACGATTGGTCACCGACGGAAGCTCCTCAAGTGGTTTAGTGAATACGGGGAATTTCTCGAATAAAGCGTGGAATTTATCGTCACGCGATTAAAAAGTGCCGAGGATTCGGTACGCGTTCATGTGGGCTCTACAGCCCATGAATTTGCTGTTCGACGAAGTATCGATTAGCTTCAGCCTCATAGTGTTGTAGGACATCGATACCTAGTATACCTGTGGAAACATCAGCAATGATGAACGTCCACAGATACCGTCGTCGTTTGCCCAGGTTGACCGCGAGTTGTCGTGCACCATAAGTAGGAATGACTGAGTCATAATTCCTTAACTATTTCCGAGTCAGATGCTGCTGGTCCCGCAAGAGATTGTAGGCGCGTGAGGTGGTCGAAAGTGAATGACCTGTACGTCTTAGTCTATAACATTAATACAATTCTTGTCGCTATCCGTCATATCGTGTATATTAAATATTAAAAGGTAATATGAAAATAAGCAACAGACGTGGATAGATGAACTATAGACTCACCGAATCGGCTTCTTTGGAAGATTTGACCAGAGGTTGAGGCGTGTTCCAAAATTTGGGTCACCAGTTGTAGCGTGGCGTCAAGTCCCAATTGACTATGAACACCGCTAACAAAAACACGTGCCAAAAAAATCAGAAAGCGAAGGTTGAACGTAACCAGATTTATTCGGTTGGCGATCTCGTGGTATCCAATAAATACCGAGATCGTGCAAAGAAATGGTACAACCGAAAGCAGGAGAATGGAGTACGTGCAAACATTACCAAAAGCTACGGAACAATGATGGGAGATAATGGAAGCACAAAATGGCTGTAATTAGCACAGTTAAACAAAAGCACATTAAAACAAACACTGGTACGGTTGGTCATAATAATAATTGTTTTTATTAACCCATTCGTGTTTTCGTGATAAATGTGAGTCACTACATATCTTACGTTGACAATGTATCTGGTGCATTCCAGGAATAGTTGGTGTCCCTGATTGAAATTCTTCGATAGACGTAATTTTGACAGGCAATGAAGTTAAAGTGACACTTGATAACTCATGACCATCATTTTGGTTCGGTACTGTGCAAGAAGAACTAACGCCATATCCACATTTCTCTATCTCTCCACATTTCCTATCCTACTTTTGTGTTAAATACGGGCCTTCTCGTGTTCACTTTGTACAACACAATGAGAATCAGTAGAATTATCAGCACGAGGAGGAAAGATTTGCTTTCGCCGCTTCGAACCTGTTGGCGGTGCTGAGAGAGAATTCTCTGTAGGGTTGGGATCTTTTAATTGACAGTTAGATAGCTTTGTTCTACCAGGTGACACCTCTGAGGTGTTCGAACTATCGTCAAATTTATTCCAATCATTATTATCAGTATAGCTGGTATGCGAACTGGTTTGACTCGTCGTTTCTGGAAAGAGAGCTTCCTTATCGTAATGAACCAATCGAGCTATACTGGCTGTACCAAACGTACCTAAAGGTCTTACAATGTCAGATAGCTTGGTTGAAGATCGGTCACACTAGAATCAGCGAAGTGAGTCCCCGAGAGCGAAATCTTACTACTGACTGTACAGACGTATGACAGCTATTCGACAACCACCCACCACTTCCAAACAGTCACAATGGACCATTGAATTAAGTCCCCGACTGTAATTGAAGTTCAAAACGCTAAAGTTAATCTGAAATGCGGAAGAGCAGCTGTTCAATTTGGATTGGCTTGAGAGGTCTTTAAGTATGGTGGTCCAGCTTTAGCGATTAGGTTGGCTAATATTTTAGCTAAAATCTGGCAGTTGGACGTAATCCCATCTGACTGGTCACAATCACTGATTGTCTCAATATATATGAAGGGGTCAAAATCATCCTGTAACAACCATAGAGGAATCAGTTTGACAAACACAGCATCTAAAATACTAGCCTCAATAAATGCCTGACGCCTAATAAAGACGCGTGAAGTGCAAACGCGTGAAAATCAAGCTGGCTTCAGACCTGGTCGTGGTTGAATCAACCACACATTCACCATTTGTCAGGTTCTAGAACACAGGCATGCTTATCGACATCTTACAGTGTTGGTCTCTCTTGACTTAAAAGCATCATTTGACCCTGTAGACCACGAGATGCTGTGGCAGTTTCTGTCATTGAAAGTCGTACCTCAGAAGTACATGAACCTCGTGCAGACTCTTTACTCAAACACTACTAGTCGAGTCAGAGCTTTTGGCGAAATGTCATCTGCTTTCGTAACCTTAAGTAATGTCCGTCGAATCTGTCCATTTTCTCCATTTCTCTTCAACTGCATCATAGACCTACTGATGGAAATAACGTCCCCGTCGACTGAATTTTCAGTCATTGATCTCATAGCAGGAGATCCAGTTATGAACTTAGAATACGCAGATGATATAGTCCTGTTTGGTGAAGACGCCTTTAAAATGCAGAGTCTTTTGGTACCAATGAACAACAATGCAAGAATGTTTTAGATGCGCTTCTCTCCCTCTAAATGCTAGTTGTTGCTTTAGGTCTGGCCTGCGTCACCACCTGAACTAATTATAGAGAGTGAAGTAGTCGAACATGTCGACAACACCTACCTTGAGAGTTTGATCAGCTAGTAGTATTTGACCACAGATGCCTTAGAAACATTGTTGGCATCTGCTGGGATCACCGGGTAAGTATTAGTGACGTTAGATGCAGGGTATTAGGGAATGATGGTAAATCAGTTGGTGAGGTTGTGAGTCTTCATCGACTCAGATGGTTGGACCACGTACTACACAATTGATTAGAATAGCTATACTACCTAATTTGCTTCAATTCGGAAATTTGGATGATATCTACCTTACTCTCGATCAATAACTAAGATTCATGATTAAAAAGGTGGATAAGCTATATACAACCTACATTTGAACACAAAATTCTTAGGACATGTCTAGGCAAAACAAGAAGACGTAGTTAGAAATGACAGAGAAGGCATACGAGTGAAAAGACCTCGTACAACAACATCAATGAAACGTCATAGCTGATGAAACAAGCTACTGGCTTGGTATGTACAACACTATATTATTACGGTTGTCCACCTATTCCACGGGTCTAATAAGGTATATTGTAAACTGATCACAACTTGGTTAATTTCAACACGTTTTCCAGATGGAAAATGATTAATTATTCTTAGCCCTCAACTTGACATTTGGCTAAATGTCCTAGGCTGGTAAAGAGAAGAAAATCATTTTTAAACCAACAGTCCACATGGGCTTTATAAAATAAAAAGAATAATATGACTCTAAATCTACCTTAATCACCACCTACTATAGAAAGGAAATTTTCACCGTATCCTTGCTGCCTCGTAAATCTGACTCATAGGCTAGCATTATTGACATTAGTTTTAGGAAAACAATCCGCTTTCTTCTGGAAGTCGAAACGTCAAGTCGACCCTCAAGCAAAATCCAAAAGTCCTTAAATAGATATAAAATACCAATTCTATAAACACTTGTTGGCATATTGTGTTCGCTTGTATACATTCATTCTACTTAAATGTAATACATTTTGAAAATCTCCACAGAATCCGTAGTCATTTACAGACATGATCAGGTCGATACCGAAAATCATGATACATGTGGTGGATGGATATTTGATGTTAAATTATTTGAGATGTTGTTTATAAATTGTTTTCAGAGGGTATTTTCGTCCCTTAATATTTGTTCATACGCACACGTTGACCATCCATAATTACACTTGATTCCTGATTACTTGAATATTTTGTAAGCTATGTATATATGGTTTTCTGAAGTATAAAAAAAGTATGTAACAGATCAAAGTAAAAATAGATTACTGATAAAAGATAATTGTTAACTTGAAGAATATAAAATAATTGTAAACATTGAGTAGTATTGAGTGATAAATTGTTAATAAACATTAAATACAAAAGTGATGTTGTGCAACGATGTAACGGCTAATGAAAAATGTCAACATAAGAATATTTTATTGGAGTGAGATGACTCTGCATTTGATGAATATGAAAACCAGAATAATTACATTTGATAATAGCTCATTAGTAATTCGGAATAGTCCCTTTGATAACCGACCAGAGTAATGCTCGAAAATGAAATTATAAAGAGCTCTCTTTGTGAACGAAGTATACTAATATAATTTACTGATGAACTACAAATATGATTACACAGCTTCAGTAAGTAATATCGCCACAAAACAGAGTTACTTTGATACATTGGCTATATTTCTTCTTCAATGACACAGTGAAAATTCATTACATCTCATGCATTTTAAATAGTTCGCATAGTCACTAACTTTTATAGACAAAGTGTTTTATGGATGTGATTTTGTGCACAACATTCCTATAATAATTCAATTTAACACAGAAAACTAACTACAATATTTTGTAAATTCGTATAAGCTCAATCGACAGAGGAATAGTGTATATGACCACAAGTAACAAATGGGAATTATTATTATTAGTAGGGAAGAAAAAATGATATGACATAGTAACTTCAAAAAATATGACAAAAGAGACTTAGTGGATACGTTCAACTCTCTGATTATATTTCTTATGCTATATAAGACAATTAAATTGAGAATAGGTAAAGTGAATGAAATATTGACTACTAGTCAACAAGTATCTTGTGGGTCTAGGTCACAGCTTTTCAAATGAAGTTTGAAAACAATTTATGAACATTAAATATAATTCTTACCAATTACGGATGCCAATTATTCCCAATGCTAAATCACTAACGTTTGGTGCCTCTTGATTATTTTGTGACATACGAACAATGGCTTGTACAGATTCAGCTAGAAGTTGTATAAATATACTAGCCATAAATATAGAGAGTACAATCGCTGCTAATGGTTCAAGTCGTGTTCTCTCTAAGAAGGAAATAAAATAACAGCATTTTAGAGACGTTATTCCTCTTTCACCTTTATATGGTTTTCGAAACCCTAACATTAGAATGAAAATGATTGATAAATATTTCGGTAAATTTAATAACTGTAAAGCATGAATAATAAGTATCTTAGAAATTAGTAATTACTACAATCATCTGGTTTAACAACATAGCTGAATGATGATGATGATAATTCACTTTCAACCATTTAAGAGCTCATGCAGTCAAATACCTAAGACTGGCAATTTAGCCACATACCCTATCATTATCAACGTTGAATAGAGAGAACATATGATTACCAACATGCTGTGATGCATGTTACTTACGCTTACTGGTACAAGCAGCATGTAGGAGCAATCGGTAATGAGATGCCTGCCAGCAACGGGTTGAGGAGATTAAATTAAAGAAAACAGCAAGAACAACTGGAAAAGGTGCAAATAATGTATTCAATGTATCGTTTTCATATTATTCGAAGGCTTTTTGTAAGTTTGCATTAGACAATCAATTGGTGTACCTCACATGAGTTCGCGTTCACTTCAATGTGACTGCGATAATTTTTGTTATCGGATGTCACTGTTTATAACTTCTTGGTGACTGGACTCATAACTTGATTTTACATTTTGTTAAAATTTGGTAACTAGTTACCGAAAGATGTACACTTTTTCTTAAACAATTTAGAAGCAAATTACTTTGATGTGTTACTTATTCTTTCTTCATACTATATCTGAACATTTCAGTGGTTTCGGAAGTAATCAGTCTAATTATGTAAAGGCTTGTAAATAGATACTAACAGTAAATAGATGATGGTGTTCTATTAAGAATCGAATACATTCACAACTTTTGTTCGATAACTAGATGAAGTGATTATTTGAGAATTAATATCGATGTATAAAACAACATTCAATAAACGAGAACGCTAAAAGATTGCCAAATTTAGTCGCAGAAAAGTTATATGTTGACAAATGTTTAAAATGTGCAGAATTCTTCCAACACATCATTCACCAGTCCATATTTTGAGAGTCATTCATACTGCATGTCGTATTTAAAAGATCATTTAAAACAACTGTAACAACAGTTTGAATTAACCAGCCTACAGACCGTAGATCATTTTATGATCAGTTAAAATATTTTTAAACCAAATTTGTATAGCTTCCTTTTACGCATTTGACGAGCAGCAAACCACATGATTACATCGGAAGTCAAATCGACGCAACTATCTAACAAAGATGATATGATTGCTAATGAACCTGATAATGCAGATGCTACAGCTTTACCCAATAAATGTACCTATATTGATGTAATTCCAAATGGGCAATATGATAATCAAAAGTTATCAAGTTATTTTTATACATACAATGTAAAATCGTTAGACAAATAATAACACTATTAGAAAATTATATTTTTCATTTAAAATTTCACTGAATAAAATGTAAATTGATTTCATGGTGAAAGAAGTGTCACATTCATAAAATTTAAGGAGAATAAATTAGTGTAGGAATTATATCAAAGTAAAACCAAACGTCTAGCGTAAAAAATTAGAAAAGAGCTTTTACTAGTACGTTATTTTGAAGAGGATGAACTCATAGAAAATTGGTTGATTAATCCAAGACACCAGTAAACATAATCTCTCTATATTCACTGAAACTGTAACAAATTTACACGGCACTTTGGTAACAAATGATTGTTTTGATCTTAGTCATCTGATAATTATATCAGACTTATGCTATGGAAAAAACGATTTGATGTTTACGATCTGTAAACCACTAAACTTATATTACTAGAAATCAACATTCTGCGTTCGTTGTGAATGACTGGTTATTTGAAATCATTAGTCGTCAATTAAACGGGTATTGCTTAAAGCGAACGTAATAAAGCAGATGCAAAATCTGCAGATGATGAACTAAGATCAATCGAAACACCAGATGTCAGATTACTTAGTAGTTTGTAAACTTATCATATATTCTAAATAATTTTCCTATGTTACAATAGCTAGATGAAAACATGTAAACGCTGAGCATTAATAACTTATTAGAATTTACCAAGGATAGTTCATTCTGCATTAGAATGAAATTTCCTTCCTTTGCGTTTTAGTAATGTACATAAACTAATTATTAGTGATTTTATACTTACCACGTTAGCACAAAATACAACACTAATAACCATTGCATTAATTCGCGTTTGCCGCCTAATAGAATGATGATTGGAGGTTACTTTGTGGAGATAGGCCTGACAAGCTTATTTTGGAAATAGTTTTTAATATTATTTGTATTTATTTTGTCAATCTTTCACTGTCTGTATATTTTATCATTAAACGATTGTACCTGTTGTTTTGGTTAATGAACTTGTACACACTTTTCCTTTGTGCTACTACATAGCGTGACATACCGTTGCTCGCTATCAAATACACTGCTTCTCGCACATTCCTCGTTCTATCTCCATTTGTGATTGAGTTAACTGACGTCTAAATCAAATACTATCTATATCTATAGTCTGTAATGGGAATAATATCACATCCTACATTGGATTATATCATTGGATAGTTCGTCAACCCGATCAGAATCACCAAGCATTTATAATTGTGGATATACAATACTGGACCCAATCAGAACACGCAATATTTGGTCAATTTAAGTAACGTTCCAAATTTTTATTGTATTTGTAACAACTAACTGGTATATATTAATATTACTGTAGCGGTAAATAAATTCCCAAAATAATTAGCTCTGTAAGTTTTCGACATTGGATGCTGACCATATGTTTTAGTGGACTCATTTAGCTGAAGGCGCTCGGTCGTGCATCCGCACCAGATAACGTGTGGTAACGCTATGCTCAACATCTACCACAATCACTAGCCAGATTAGATCAGAGAATTCCGATATATTGGTTATCGCCAAATACACTCTTCCGATCTCCTCGACTGTCTTTTGATTTCTCTCGGTGGGAACTTAGTATATTAGAAGGTGTTACTGGTAGAAGCGTTGTCAAACATTTAATACCTGTATCCTCTTCATTACTATTGATCTTTAGTAACTTTGTTGATATTTTTTATGTTTGTAGTGACTTACATTTGTCACGAGAACACGACTGATACAATAAAAACAATTATTATTATAAACAGTTGTACCAGTGTTTGTTTCAAAATGCTTTTGTTTAACTGTGCTAATTATAGCCATTTTGTGCTTCCATTATCTCCCATCATTGTTCCGTGGCTTTTGGTACTGTTTGCACGTACTCCATTCTCCTGCTTTCGGTTGTACCATTTCTTTGCACGATCTCGGTATTTATTGGATACCACGAGATCGCCAACCGAATAAATCTGGTTACGTTCAACCTTCGCCTTCTGATTTCTTTGGCACGTGTATTTTGGTAGCGGTGTACATAGTCAATCTCGACTCGACACCACGCTACAATTGGTGATCCCAAAGTTTGGAATACGCCTTAACCTCTGGTAAAATCTTCCAAAGAAGCCAATTTGGTGAGTCTGTTATTTATCTATCCACGTCTGTCGTATATTTTCATATTATCTTTTAATATATAATATACTCGACATGACGGATAACGATAAGAATAGTATTATTATAATAGACTCCTACGTATGTGTACCGAATCCTTGTCACTTTTTATTCGCGTGACGGTAAATCCCACGCTTTATTCGATTCTCCTCGCTGACCCGGCTGCTTGGTACGGAATGCGTACGCATAAGCATATCCATCTACCACCCAGCACCAAGTGGTTAAGTTGAACGGTTTCACTGCCAACTTAAAAGTGCTCTACGAGCACACGAAAACGGCAACTGGCACGAAACCTTACCGCTCGTTACTTTAGGGATCAGAACGAGCTTAAAGGCAGATATCCAATGTTCCGCCGCTGAACTTGTATACGGCACGACATTGCGTCTGCCCGGAGAATCCGTCACACCACGGAGCAGACCTGATTTCGGTAAATCAGACTACGTCCATCGACTGTCTGCATTTATGCGAACACTGTCTCCGGTGTCAACTCGAATACAACATCGACAGGTCGCTCTCTTTCGAGAGTTATCTGCCTGTTCACATGTTTTCTTACGAGTAGATTCGGTACGCAAACCTTGGCAACAACCTTACGAAGGCTCTTTTCACGTGATCGCTCGTCACGAAAAGACCTTCAAGGTTGTTTGATATGGACGCGTCGGGATCGTCAGCATTGATCGTCTCAAATCAGCACACGTCGATGACAGTGCCCTATCTGATACCCTGAGATTCAATGCCAGATCTATCAAACCTAGCGGGATCCTTAAATCTTCTTCAGATCCCACGCTAGATACGTCCAAGACCTCATTCTCACGTCCCGGTCAACAGCACGTGTCATCTGCACTATCTACGGACGAGACAACAGTCTCACGTCCAGATCAGTAGACCACGCCGCCCTTGACTTCGGATGAGATTGCAGGCCCACGCGACGGGAACGAGACTATCGTCTCACGTTCCGGTCGCCGAGTACGGTTGCCCGTACGCTTTCGTGACTAGCCGCACAGTCAACAACCGATACGGTGTAGGACTATTCCTATACTACACGCATGCTACACTCTTCTCTCTTTTGATTTTCTTTTTGTTTCCTGAGCCCACGCCTTCGACCATCTCAGTTTGGTTCCGTCGACTTCAGTCAACTTTGGCGAAAGCTGGCCTGATCACCCACGCTCTTGTCAACGCACTCAGTCGATATATTGGTTTGAATGTTTGGCACACGCTTGGTCTCGAACCTGGTCGTTGCGGTCGCTTTTGGTTTTTTGGCTCAACGTGGTTTCGTCCTACGTCTGCAGCGTTTCTGGTCCGCATTTCCTACGAACGCAATCTTCAGATTCTGGATACAAACCACTCGTGTAGCATGTCAACTCAAGCAACAAGTACAGCACATCGCTCCTGGTACCGTTCTCCGAAAATAACTTTCGTTGGCAACTCGACGATCAACGATCGCTTTCCTGTTCGCCAATCCGTTCGTCCTACAATCGCTCGTCAGCCGATCAGTCCCACGATATAAACCGCTATTTATCGAAAGTGTAAACTTTTTCTAGCGGGGGGCTCCT